AATGCTGTAAGGTGCAGTAATGTAATCTGTTCCACATGACGTACCAGCTGTAATTTGAGTTACTGATACCGTTTCATATATTACTAAGGGAAAGGAAAGTGAGAGTTGTTGTGTTTTTCATATATGATAATGTGAAAAGAACTCACGTCTTTCAGTCTGTTAGTCCATCAACATATCATTTTGACCAGGACATATGTTGTATAACTTAGTGTCACATTCAAGTCTGACATATTTATCTGGTAATAAGCCTGGCAATGAAAATTGAAATAAATACTTCTTCCTCCCAGTGTTTAATATCTTGAAATATATCAAATATGTATTTCAGCTTCATTATCATACTTTGTTCCTATGGGAAAAATTGGTGAGAGTTCAACAGCAATGGAAATTTTGTGACTTTTTATTATGTCCTGTGATAAGCCCGCCTCTTTGCATTGAGTCAAATGTACTGTGCTGCCCTGTTGGACCATTTACAAGATAAATAAGGTAAAATGTACTCTAGTTGGGATTTGTATTATATGTTATACAGAGTTGTTGTCCTTTGTGTAACTTTCATTACTGAAGCATGACCTCAGATGCAGCACCTATACTATCAGTATTTTACCGTGTTTTGTTGGGTTATATATTTGTGAGATTAGAGTGGGAGATGATGGAGATATACTGCTGGAATGGTCAGCAGATTGGTCAAAAAACCACTCACTGTCTGTGTGTGGGATCTTATGTAGATGCTTAATATAGGTAATAAGTCACATGTGTTTGTACTGATATTTGAAGAGTTCTGCCAGGAAGTCTTACACCGACTACTATGGGGAGATACCGATGCTGTGTTTATAAGACTAAGATATTTTTCTTCCACCGTTGTTTATCTTTTAGAATCATTCACCTACACTTAAACACCTCGTTATACTGAACATGATCGGTGGTACAGATATAGAGCAGTTACAGAAATACTCAAATATACTGGGAAACCAGACTTTTAGGACAGGTGTATTTTTCTCAAATCTGAAACCATCAAGTTTAGAACAAAAAAAAAATCATAAATAGGCGAAAAACATGCGAACAATTAAAAGAATGATATTCTTATGCGGAGATGAAGCTTGTTAAAACACTCGATGTAAACCAGAGCTGCCTTAACTGTTATATTAGGTTTCAGTATACAATTGCTACCTACAGGCAAATTCTGTCTTCAGCTGTTTAAACGGATGTGCTTATCTACAGCTGGGCAATAAAACATGACTTTGAACTTGTGAAAACTGATGTTCATTCTATTAAAGGAGAAATATACATGCAGGTTTTTTCCACATCTCAGAATGTTCTCACTGTGTTAAATGTACTTAGGGGATTGCTGGTGTGATTATTAGACTAAATTTACTGTAGATATTCAAGTATTTCTGGACATTTCCCATCGTATGGTATATTGTCTATCAATCTGGAACAATTCAAGGTTAATAATAGCTATAATCTGTATATTATAATACTGTAAAGACAGTTGGTGGAATATTTTAGATGTTAAGGTAACCCATGTCTTAAGTCTAAATGTTTTACATGTATAAAACATTTAATAATGCTTGCCACAAGGACAAAACTTGTAATGTGATTGTACATGCATTACATGGGTTGATGGCACTGTCTGTGATATTGATTTCTAGAATTATTATGGTACAATGTAACATTAAGTAGCACTCAGAAGAGTGAGGGATGGGGTGCGAATGTACTTGTTAATATTAGGAGAGGAAAACTAGGCAGGATATAGGGCCAATGTACATTGCAACATTAATGTACCGTGTCAAAATCATACTGGTTTAACATAGGTCAGCAAGTTCTCAGAGTTCATCTGAAACTGCTGAGTTGTTGGTACATTTAAGGTCCTGAAGGTCCACCAGTTTGGTACATGTGCAGTTTTGTAAAACAATATGTCAGGGAGCTAATGTTTTTAGCAGATTGCAACTCCTTGGCTCTGAACAGTCATCATTGAATATAAACAAGTTATCAGTACATAGTCATTTAATTCAATTACTGAGGTAGTTGTTTTGATTGCTGTTGTTTTAGCATTGTAAAATATGTTTGCTATATTTATTTTGCTGTATTAGAATACTCATAAAGAGTTTGCTGTCAAAGTTTAATTTTCAAAAATATTAAGAGAAGAGGCAGGGAGGGAGGGGGGAGAAGAAATTCAGCCTAAGTTGGCAAGTACTTGATTGATATCCTGTCTGTTATTCATTTACTTTACCTGTACAGTTCTGTAGTAAGAGACCAGCATGTAAATATTTAAAGCAAAGACTTGTAACAACCAATTGTCTGTCTACTCACAAAACCCAGGGACGTAATGGCTCAAGTGTTACAACATTGAAAAATTTCTTTCAATAAAGAGTTTTAAGAATGATGGCTACTATTTTTGGATCAGTTCTAATTTCCTCACGATCTAAGGAGTCACTAAGTGAGTTAGTTTACAAACCATATGTCAAGTAATTCAATAAATGAATTTCTTTCAAGGTGTCTGTGAGAACGTATTTAAGGAGTCATTTACCACAGGAGTATGTTTATCTGATGTATGTAGCAATGCTCAAAGTCATAATTTCTCCTATTGATCCTGCTCAGGGTCATGCACCCAGTAAAAACATGCAACCTGTCATATATACATGGGAATATCTGTCTTATGGAATCATTTCATAAAATATGCAGATTTTTAGTCATGATTTGAACTTCAGTGGAATTCCTTCCTGGTTATATCATTTTGGAGATTTCTGAAACGGAAATTTCATGTTTTAATTTCAGAATGTGTAACATTACCCAGATGGCTTTTGTAAAACCATTACGTATACTGCAGATTCAGCCTCAAGTCACCATTCTATATGTAAAATTTAAGACAGAGAATTTCAATCAACATTTCAGTCTGTTTAGATATACAGATTTCCATAGAAATCATACAGTCATAAGATAAGATTGTGAAAGGTGCATATACTGCAGATTCTGCCTCGAATCACAATTCTGTATGTACAGTGAAACCTTGCTATTAAGACCACTTTGGGGACTACACAAAAGTGGTCTTAATAGCGAGGTGGTCTTATAGTGAGGTGTACCAGATTGACTGCAAAGAACCGTAACTCTGCTTGAAATAATAAATTGTAATTGTCTATTTCTAAGACAAATTTGAATAATTTTGATCTGTTTGGATATACAGAATTTCATAGAAATCTTATTGGCAAATAATGGGATTTTAAAAGGTAAAGGTCACTTGAGGCAAAAAATGAAAAAGAAAATAAAATTCATGTAGCAAGAGTGTATTCAAATGCAGAAACTGTCTACCAAAGTTATCCTGTTATAAACCCTGGTGTCAATAATGTCTGAAGCTGACTGACATTCCAGGTGGGGCAGATACAGCATTGTTGGCATTAAAGTCAAGACTAGTATGAGAGAAAGTCAAAATACACAGATGGTCTCATTACACAAGTTGCCATAGTATTTTTCAGCAACATTATATGCATGTGGCAATCAAAACTGTTCATACACAGGAAAATTATGGGATAGTCCAAGTGGTAGTTTATGGAAGGGCCCAAGTGGTAATTATGGAAAAGACCAAGTGATTATTTATGAAATGGTCGTAATGATAATTAATGGAGGGGTGCAGGTGGTAATTTATGGAAGGTTCCAATTGGTGATTGTTATAGGGGTCCAAGAGATAATTAATGGAGGGATCCAAGTGGTAGTTTATGAATTGGTCAAAGGAGGAATCCAAGTGGTAATTAATGGAGGTGTCCTAGTGGTAATTTATGGAAGGTTCCAAATGGTAGTTGATGGAGAGTTCCAAGTGGTAATTTATGGAAGGTTCCAAATGGTAGTTGATGGAGGGGTCCAAGTGGTAGTTTATGGAGGGGTCTAAGTGGTAGTTGATGGAGGGGTTCAAGTGGTAGTTTATGGAGGGGTCTAAGTGGTAGTTTATGGAGGGGTCTAAGTGGTAGTTGATGGAGAGATCCAAGTGGTAAGACATGGAAAGTTCTTTGTGGAAATTTGGAGAGGTCTTTATAATAGTTCATGGAGGGGTCTTTGTGGTTTCCTTCTACTGTCTCTGTAAGCAGAGTGCAACATGATGAAATGTAGACTTGTGTTTATCTACAGAATTCTGTATCATTAACATTCATAACCATGTGTGAGTCACTCCTTGTATTTACGGGGCAGCTGTTCATACATATAAAACTGGTAGAGTTTGAATGTCAGGCCCTAATTAGCTAATGTAATTAATGTAAGGGTACTAAATCAGCCGCTACCGATTGTCACGCTGGAGTGTAGATATCCATTGTATAAGTCTGATTGTCAGGGCGACTGTTGATTTGTGAATAAAAACTGTGGATTTCTGCCACAGAATCAGTTTTGTTAGTTTGAATGGGTGGTGCTGATTTATACCAGGTATATGTGACTAGCTTTCCATTATCTCAGTTCTCTTGTTCACCAGCAGAATGATACCAGCTAATCTTTGTTGTGTTCTACAGATAGATTTCTGTAAGTGTTTCCAAGATAACAGCAGTACCAGTATCTCCCCATCAATGGTAATACTTCACTGCCAGTCTGAATCTCTTTGTATCATTTCTGATGTTAAACAGCAGCACTTTAGTCTGTTCAAGTTTAAAGTTGTTGGTTCAAATTCTGATTGATATATCACATTATTGGTCAATTTGAGATCATCCTTAAGGTCCTGGGTCCATTTTCGAGAGAAAAAAAAAATCAAGATTTAGATTAAGTCAAACCTGTGTATAAAGGCCACTCAAAGAAGAGAGAAAATTGGCCTGTATACAGAGTTAAAGATGGTCTTTATATAGAGGTTGGGTTACTGTGACTTGTATTACAGCAGGATCCCTAAGCGGTGGTCTTTGTAGACAGGTATTTCATATCTAGAAGTGACATTTAAGACAGGACTGACTGTGACTTATATTAACACAAGCAAAACACAATATTCTTTAAACTTGCCATGTGAATTAAACATTACCTCAATTCTTCTGTCTTTACAGGTAAAAGACAGGATATTAAAATCTCCCCCTAAACGGGAACTGGATCCTGTTGAACTTTTACTTCGAGACATTCGTCAACAACCCAAGTTACGACCAGTGAAGGATGGCAAACTTCTAGGTGAGTAGACAGGGAGTTGAAATCTCTAAAGAAAAAACATGAGTACTTAATATGGTAAACTGGTTATATGAAGAAGGGGTGTATTGTTTAAATTAAGACTTTGCATTTTTGCAACTTTTTGGTTGATACATTTTTTTTTCTGCATTTCTGTTTTATTTCGACTTGTCCTGAAACAGGGATGACTGAAACTTTGTTGCAAGTATTTGATTAATGGCATAATGCGTTTTTTGATTTTCTCTAAATCTGTTGTTGTTATTTGTAATTATTTTAGTGGAAACGTCAAGAACAAAACTACATAACGACGATGATGCAGAAAGTCCTCTTCCTGTCCGAAAGGTCATCAAGCCAGACTTCAATCTTCTACGTAATTTTGAGGTAATGCATTAACATGCAATGAGGTTTTCCTAACACATAATGATAAAATTTTTGTTATTTTGAAAATTATTTAATCTTCAATACATTGGAATCCTAAATTTTGTATATGACTCCTAATATTTAAAAATTAATTTTCTATTTCACAAAATGATTATAAGATAGTGTCTAGTTTGTGAACTTAACATTCTGAAATATGATCACATTCATAAAGTAAACACCCTGTTTATCAGACACTAAGCCCATGGGGCCAACACATTACCTCTGACTCACACTCGGGGGTAGACTTATTACAGGACAATGATATAACAGTTGTAAGTAATCTGATGAGCTGTGGTAGATATTGGTGGGATTATTACAAGACATAGGTTTATTACTGGATAGATGGAAATAATTGCATATATATGGTTCATTTTTATGCCTTGGATCGAAAGATTGTTTTTGTGCTGTCTGTTTGTCTGTTGTCAACTTCAACCTTGGCCATAACTTTTGCACCATAAGAGGTAGGGCTATCATTTTTGGCATGTGTGTTCCTTGTGACAAGATCTTTATAGCGGCACTAAATTTTGTGACCTTGACCGTAATCTTTGATCTGCATTTGTAAAATTTTCATATTGGCAATAATCTATTGCACCATAAGAGGTAGGGCTTTCATATTTGGCATGTGTGTTCCTTGTGACAAGACCTTTTACATAGTTCTAAAATTTTTGACCATGTGACCTTGACCTTTGAAAATTTGTTCATGCAATTAGCACATGCCTTACACAGTACAGTTAGCACATGCCTTACACAGTACAGTTTTAGTATCCCACTTAAATTTATTGTTGCAAACAGGGGCATAGTGTTTCATAAACACATCTAGTTTTCGATTCACTTCTAGGATGACACAGATGAATCTGAGTGTAGTCTACAGTCATCACGACGATCCAGTGTGGCGTCACCATCACCGGAAAGAGAAATGCGTCTGTGGCAACGAGCTGGTAGGTCAAGGCTATATATGAACATGGTTATCTATATATGATAATGAATCTTGTGACTGTTGGAATTTTGTTGTCTCATAATTGTGACGTATTTAATGTTGATTGCTTTTGGTGCATGAAGATAATGTTCAAAATTTCAGAAATGGATTATGAGTGATATGTGAATCTAGAATCAAATTTCAATATGACAATCAGCCTAAGGGGTGGGTGCTTTTTTTTTTTTTTTTTTTGAAGAATTTTATATAATTTAGGAGTTTGCCTGGTATTATTATTATTATTTTTTATAAACTTTTCATGTGTCTAGACTGTATACGTGCATATATTTTAAGCTCTTGATGAAGCAAAACAATGGAAAACTTCTTGGTTATTTTAACTTTTGTATTTTTCCTGTAACTTTGCCTTTTATATAGTTTTGTATTTGCTACATGTTTGTGTGTTTCTCAGTGCTGGAATTTTGTTATTGAAACTGTTTGTATTTTGCTACAGTGGTACGTGACTTGGCTACCACTCAGAGCAGACCTGTGATACTCCAGCGTAGGAATACCATAACGGTGTGTGAGTCGCCTGTACAGGTATATCCCACCAGCACCCCACAATCCCCGATCTTGGAGGAGATTGATGAGGAGAATGCACCTCCACACAAAGGGCCCTCTATAAAGTCTCCATCAAATTCGCATGATAATACTGTGAAAAAAGTTCGACGTCAGTCGGCAGTTTGTAAATCGCATGTGTCTGCCAATGACGTTCGACAAAGACTGAGTTTAAAACTGCATGGTAACACTCCAGCATCATGCATGTCATCTCATGACAGGGTGCATGGTAGAGCCCATCTTTCTTCACAGTCCTCCGGGAGTTCTGAGGACTTGCTGTCAGAATCATCATCGCAGTCGTCACCACGGATGAGAAAAATCAGTGAGCCATTAATGAGGCCTAATCCTCAGAAAGTGCAAAGGTCAGTGAGTGTGAGTGATATTGCAGGAAGTAGACCTCAGCCGATGACGAGGTCAAGAACAATGCCTAAAGTCAGTAGCGAATCGGAGAAAAATGAACAATCTGCCATTTCCGATGAGAGAGTCAGGCCTGTTCCACGACCCCGCCCAGTTCCGGCACCTCGGTTGAGTCGTAGTTCGTCACCCAAAACTGTCCAGGGTCTAACCTCTCCGGCATTAGTGCCAACAAAGGATGGTGAAAACTCCCTGTCTCCGATAGTGTCACAGCGAGATGCTTCTCCAACTCCAACTAGACGAGAAACTTCCCCCAAACCAATCAAACGACAACGATCTTCTGTGCACAGATCGTCAACTCAGACAGAGCATCGCAGAAATAGACTGAATTCCTCTGAGGAGGAACAACTCTCTGTATCAAGCTCTGAAAAGACATTAGAACAAAGGCATAGATCATCAGAACGAAGGCAGCGTTCTTCAGAACAGAGGCAGCGTTCATCAGAACGTAAACAGAGTTCATCCGAACAACGGCAGCGTTCTTCAGAGCGTAGACAGCATTCTGAAAAGAACCAAATCACAGATGCTAAATATTTAGAACGTAAACAGCGAAGAGCTGAACATCGAGATCGAACAGCTGTTGACATGAGCTCAGAATTGAGTTCTGCCCCCTCTACGCCTTCTACCTCCACCTCCTCTTCTGTGGCATCAACTCCATCTCATGTCTCCCCTGACCCCTCCCCAAAACCCAGCCCCACTCCCCGACCTCGTATCCAGCGCTCTGCCAGTCACCATATAAAACGTCAGATGACCATCTCAGGTGGTCCTGTGCCCATTGCAGACATTGATCAAACAATGCCACGAGCAAAGGATTCTACTGTTGATACTCCAAAGATTTCAATTCGAAAGGAATCATCTCCAGAATTTAAAAGAACGACGTCTAAAACAGATTCTGATATGGTCAGCCAGAGAGTTCCTCGCAGATCAGATTCATCACGTGCCCCACGCCCCATGAGCCTGATAGAGGCAGACGATCGTCGTGCTATCATACAAGAAGCAGGGGAAACAAGTCTCCAAACTAACGGTGCATCCAGTTTCTCATCACTTGATGTACGAGATCTGCTGAATGTAAGTTCAAGGATGAGGTCCTCTGTTGCTGGTGAGGACCCTGCTTCTACTACTAACTGTAATGGTAGTCCTGCACCTAGCTCCCATCCATCTTCTGCTGTGCCTGCGGCAGCCGGCTCTGTGAGTATCCTAACAACCTAGCTAGTCTATAACCATTGTTGTAGTATCACTTCCCCAACATCCCAGAAGTTTGTTTTTTTACACCTAAGCATTTTTTATCCCACCAAGTTTGCTTCATTGACACTCATTCCTGACCCCGACCAGGACCATCACAGTAAAATGTGCATTTTTAGAGTTTATAAAAAGAGAAAGTATATCATTTTTATTTCAAAATTAATTGCAGCTTTCAAAGACCAATTTGAAATATTACAGTAAGGTACTGAGATTTTTTTTCCCCCAGAAATTCACTATAACTTGTCATAGTGTAATGATTTAAGAGAATCTCCCTAGTAAAATATCTCTGTCTCTACCGTTCAAGTTCATACAGGGAAAAACATCATCTGCAATAGTCATTAGGCATTGTTATATATTGTTGTCCTATGACCTGCCAAATCATTGAGTATTTGATAGACATTAGCAAAATGTCATCTGTAGACTAAAGCAAGACTCATTTATCTGTAAAAGTTGTTTCCAAGGGAGTTCTATTTACACTCTTTTCCAGATTTGATAAAAATGGCACAAATAAAAAAAAAATCAAATATTTGAATAATAGAAAAATATCCTATACTCTCTCCCATAACTTTTATGAAAAAATCACTATTTTCACTTGCAAGATTTTGCTAAATCAAAAAATTGCAAAAACATTTCATCGACCAAGTGTCATTTTAATTATCGTCTGTTTAATTTTGACCAATAGAGACATGAAACAATATAAAATATTTGAATTTCAAATGATTAAACTGAAAAATTGTTATAGTTAACAAAGATTTGTAATGTCTTCCTTTGTCAGATGTCTCAAGTTTTGATCAAGGTGATTCAACATCGTAACAGATATACTGCCTTGTTGTTCTTACTCAAACTCTTAACATAATGCCGTCAGTCTCTTGTACTGAATTGGCATGTTGCTCTCCTGATAACTTTGAGTTACCAGGATTTAACAAGAGGAGGACAGTCATTATTGGTGTTGCTAAGAACAAGGCGCTATATTTGTTTGAACTCATATCTTCTACTGCTGTTTCACTGACCTCTAATTAACCTCTGCTGAACATAACCATAGATTTAAACCCATTCCTGTATCAGGGTCTCATTTATACCTAATTCTAAAAAAACAAAATCTACATATCAAATCAGAATTTAAAATAAACTATAAAAAAAAAACAAATTCAGTTCTTTGTTAAGTTTGCTGATTGTTTAGTATAAGTGTGAGTTTGAAGTTTATTTGAATCTTCTAATTTAAGATATTTATCTAATTGTAAGATATTAAATTGAAGAACATTGGAGTTTCCACTATATTTTGATAATTTGGAATACTTTAAGTGCTGAAAATTGAAAGTTAGCAAATGTTTGTTTGTGTGAGATTTTGTATATAAACAGTCTTGGTACATTTCCAGTTGGAAACTCATTCTTTGTTTCGCACATTTAGTCACATAATCGATCCATTTATTTATGACAAAACAAACAAACAAAAACAAAACATTTAAAAATCTAAAAATGGTAGTAAGCATTTGACATATTTTTGGCATGTTGAAAATAAGCTTGCATGTTTTCATTTTAACTTAATTTTTTTTTCATAACAGTAGTGAAAATATCTTATTTGTTTCCATGGCAACAATTTGATGTTTAAGGGATGAAAATACACTATAATAGTGGTCCTATCTACTTGTTACTTGTACATGTCTGTTTTATACAAAGATTTATTTCCTGCTCAATGAGTTTGAGTTGTCTGCCCTTTGTAGTCCGATGTTTAAAAGTGTGATATTAGTTTGACAGGCACTTTCACAAACTATGTAGTAACATGTACACTTTTTAGGCAGATTTTATTTTAGTAAGTAGTCACATATATAATGCAATAAACATGCTTTATTTCATTAGTTTATTTTACTTTTAATTATTAGTCAAAATGCTGAGTATTTATGATATTATCGCTATTTTTTGTTTTAGTCTCCAATCTTTAGCTCTATTTTGATATGTTTTGGTTTTTATTAATGTACTTTGGCATGGTGTGTGAAACATTCCATAGAGATTCGAGTCTGTATGCTACACTAACCTACAGTGACCAATATTATAGAACTTTATATTACTAGTCTATATTGTGTGGTTCTCTTCTGGTCTTGGCATGGCTGTTGTTTCTTAACAAATGATATTGATAATTTGCTTAACATGAGCATATAAGTCATTATATAGGATTTTTCTTCATTCATTTGATAATTCTTTAACTTCATCAAAATAATTCGTTCATTTTTGGATATTGGCTAATATATGAAGTTTTCATTCTATTTAACACTAGTTTCTATTTTTATTATCTGATGAAGGAATTGAAATATGTCTCATAATCATTTTTATTATGTTTTTAGAATTATATTAAATGGAGACTTTTGTGTAAAAAAAGAATGTTTTATCTTATGTACAAAATTCATCAAAGAACTTTTCAGGGAAAAAGAGAAAAACTTATTTGAAACTATTAACAGTAACATACATATATTTACACATCTCTTCATAAATTCAATTTTGCTGGTTCCAGCATTCTGTTTTTCACCAGCCAAACAAGATTTATGGTTTATTTTTAAAAAATAATAATTTAGCCCTTCTTACCTGGTTAACCATGAGTCAGTTAGAGTGATGTGAGATCTGGACAAAAATCTTGACTTTATTTTAAACAAAGACGTGTGTATTTTCTTCTATCAGAAATGGTCACATCCCATTGAATGTCTGTCTTTGACTCTTGAGGAGGTCACACACATTCGCACAGTTCTGACCAAGGCTGACCTTGAGTCTGCCATCACACAGAAGGACCTATACACATTACTGGCTAAAGGCAAAGTAAGTATGAATAACAAGGTTACATAGTTCAAGACTAACCTGGAAGCAAAGGTCAAGATGACATATAACAATGTTGTCAAAGTGAGTACCAGATGTTAAAGAAATATTAAAGGCCAGAGTAGATGTCAAGGTCACTCACAAGCAAAGTGAGTACCATTGTCAGGATCAAACATCAGGATAGAGTAAGTAAGAATGTCAAGGTTACACACAAGGTCACACATACAAAGAGACAAGTAATAATGTCAAGTTCACAAACACAAGGACAAAAGTGATTAATAATGTCAAGGTCACACGCAAGGACAAAGTAAGCACAGATGTCAAGGTCTCACACAGGACCAAAATTAGTATAGATGTCTAGTAGAGGTCTGCTATGTGGTTGAACATGTAGAAAGCTTTTCATAAGAATCTGATATATATTTGTCAAATTATCATCTTGTGTCTATTTCTTACCTCCTATTTACATTTATCAGGTCACCTACTGTGCACTGTACTAACTGTATCATTTTTTGTTTTAGATTTGTTTTACATGTAAAGAAGTGAAGTTCTCTATGTTTGGACAGTGGGGAACTCGGTGTAAGATATGTAAACGAAACGTCTGCAATAACTGTCTCCGTAAAGTAAGTAATCCTTCACAGATACTCTTAGATCTCTAATATCAAGTATCGGCGCATATAATTTCAAATGTTGATATCAAGTTTTGCATAACAAACTTAGCTCATTTCATGGGTATCTACCTGTGTTGTTTTAGCCTACTAATGAATTTGTCAATGCAATCATACATAACCCACTGAAATTTGAAAAGTAAGAAATTAGGGAATTTTGTCAGTTACAGTTTGCATTAAAGATAATGTGATACTTAATATTGAAGAAATTGTGTTTTCCATGATTTACAGTGGTCAACACAGAACTTGGTATCCATGAAAACTCTTTTTGGGCAGTTTCTCTTTCAGCTAAGCTACAAATACAATGCTTTTATGTTTTACAGATGAATGTGCCAACAGAACACTTTGAGAACATCCCCGTACATACTCTCAGTCCCATACCTCTCAGTCCAGAGACCCTGGACATCATCAGGGCATATGAAAGGTAAATTATATAGGAAACAAAATTAGTGCTAATATACAATTGATTAGGGAGTAACTGGTAATTTCTTATCACAACAACTTTTGGTAGTATCTTTGAACTTTAAACTGCTGAATTTTTGTCACTTACTATTGATAGACTGCTCAAGGGTTAAAAGTTATTGTTCTATTAGAAATGTTGATAAAGATTCTAAAAAAAAGTTTTGACATTAGTGTGTCAGCTGCATCGTCATTCAAGGTGTCATTTAACATTTCAGTACTGGGTCAGTTCCTCACTCACCAAATTTACAACGCAAACAACAACAAAAACTAGAAACTAAATCTGTTAAACCAAAAACACTTCAACGTGCCAACACATTTACTGCAAACCAGGGTCCAGCCATGCTACCCAACAAGAATCTCCTGAAGGGCCCTCAGATGAACATTTGTCGAGATTGTAAAGGAATGATCATGGAGATCATCAGGACAAGTCGAACCTCGATAGCACTTATAAACCAGGGGAAGGAACTCCCCAAAAAATCAGAGAGTTCAGGCTCTGAGGATGAAAGAAGTGGCATGAATCTCTCTTCACTGTCTCTTAATGTGAAACATTTCTTTTCTCCAACAAAAGAGTGATGTGTCAGTCAGTGTTTAGGATAACCTGGTACTAGTGTTTTTACAGTGATGTGAATCAACTTTTTTCACCATGGATGCAATATTCTATATGGAGAAAAAGACTGAACAGACATTCCCTGAGTTCTTCAGAATGACAACTTGTATGTTTCCTATAATTTCGACAAAGCTGAAGAAAAATTCAGAAACAAAATTTTTGAACTTACCAACTGTAACTTACTGAAGTCTTCAAGATTTTTCAGATAAAGATCTATCTTGGTAATATGGAACAAAGGAGAGAGTCATATTTACCTGGAGTGTTTTATTTCTCTCTTTTTTTTAAGAAAGTGTAGAGAGTCATAATTGTTGGAATTTTTGAGAGCCATTTAAAATAAATGAACCTTTGTTGTTGTTGTTGAAGAACAAATTTTGAATATAAACAGAGAAAATTGACAACCTAATTTTAAATAGCCTACGTGACACCTTGTCAGTTTTAGTCATCTTCATGTGTCTCTGTATCCCTGCCCAATGTGTTGATTTGAAGTTATAAATAAGATACAAAATGATCATTGTAGCCTTGTGGTGTTCTCGTAGATCTGAAAACTTACTCATTGTAGATCTTATCCAGGTTCTGTTTACACAAAATTTTATTTTTAATAAATTTTTATTTTAATTTGAATTTTTCAGGAAATAAATATTGGATTTTGCAGCTTTTTGATTTTAAAACTTATTGTTTTATGCTAAGAGTGTATATAATTATATATATGAATGTTTTCTTTTCCCCCATTTTTTTCTTCTTGCTCTCTGCTGGTCATGTTTCTTCAACAAAACATAATATGTGCAAAATATTTTACAAGGTTGGGTTTCACAAGAACAAGTTTTATGCGTCCTAATGTCAAGGTCGCTTGTGTCAACACTTATATGAAAACATCACAAAAAATTCATGGTATAGAATGCATAATAAATAAAGTGTAAAGAAATCAGTATGTGATTTAGCCATCAGAGAGCATAATCAAGAGGCACTATTCACATCTGTTATTTAACTTTATAGATGAATGATATGCCTATTTTATTTTAAAATAATTTGGTAATTCAGATTTAAATGAAAATATATGAAATCTGAAGGCAATCTTTAACAATTTTTTTTCATAAATCAAATCATTTTTCCACCAGCTTAAATTCTCAGATTTTCATTTGGTAATATTCATGACTGTGTCAAAGGAATACCAGTTCAGTTATATGATGGAGTGCCATATCTGAATTTAAATTTAAAACAGTTTGCAAAAATAATTTTTTGTCTGTTTTTTCGAAATGCTTAAAAATTCCAACAGGTTTTAAAAAAAACATTCAGTGTGTGAAATGAACTAGGGATTTATTATGTAGATTTATGTAAGATGTTAATTGATATTTATTGTGTTCAGTTGATAGTGATAGATTGAAGTGATGTTGTAAGAATATATCAAATTAGAAATATATGAAGAGTCAGGAGGGAAAGTGAAAATACATGTACATCTGACTGGAAAGTTGAGTGTGTAAAGCATAATGGATGCAAACATCTCGCTGCGATAATAGAGGTTTTAATGGTGTTTTGAAAGTAAGTGTAATTGTTTAGTAAATTATATCAAACTTGATAGTCATGAGTAATTTTATAGGAAATTTAATTGTGTTTGGCATATAACGGAGTCTTAATATATCAATTAGAAGTTTACTACTAATTTAATGTGTACTGGAGTTACTTCCCTTTGTTCACTCTCTCGGCTGGGGTAGTGATACGCTTTGAAGCAGAGGAAGCCAAGAATGGGGCAACAGTGAACAGACCAGACTTAAAAAGTGTGTGTATAAATGGTTATTTAATATAAAACTAGGCAGATCTGTGTGAGATTTGAGTGGATTTTAATAAAAATGCATGTGAGGGAGGAGTGGGGATGGTTATGATAAGATTCAATAAGAAGGGGAAATGAGTATGAGAAAAGAAAGAAAAAATAGATGTCAAGAATTAGTTTGTAGTTGTGGAGTTTGATAGATATGATATGGAAGATATAAGGGGTTAGAAAAGTTAAATTATGTTTGTATAGGTAAATGTAATGTTGATTTCACTATTCTTGTTTCTCTGTACATATATACATAGTCAGAACTATTCCATTGTTTTACCGTTGTGGTGCTGTATGAGACAATATTCTGTGATTCTGTCATTCTTTGTGTATAAATTTCACCCAACTACATCACTCTGATGAAAGAAATGTAGTTGATGTTCCCAAACCTTATAGTCATTGTTTTTGTGTGTTTCAGAGAATAAACCCAGGTTGTATGCCAATGTGATATTATTGAACACAACACAAACTCTAACCTTTGTGATGTGATCTGGTACCACAACCCCATTGTTTTATATTAGCTTTATCCTTGAATTAGGAATTGAACCTGCACAGCTTTGCCAAGATGTTGACACGTTGTAGTGTTGATGTTGAAACAGTGACTTTATAATCAAGAATTCAATTTTGATGAAGCCCAGTATGTTAAACTGTACTTTACAGTTTGGCACTGTAGAGCTGGTCTTGTCGTGTATTTTAATATCACATCCAGATAGCCTTTACAAATCAGATAGCTTTTTTTTTCTCCTGACAAATCTTTTTTAAAAAGATTGTAGTTGATACATACAGGTTTGCCATGTTTCATTGCCCACCAGCTGTTCACCATGGAGTCAGCAGGTTTTATGATAAAGACCCTATTTATTTGTGATTTTTCAATGGCATTAATGTAAACATGACACCATTTTTTGTAAGCTGTTGTATTAACATTCCTTGTTCAATACGAAATGTATACAGCCAGACTTTTCAATGTTTTAGATAGGTGGTTAGATAATATATATGCAAAGTGAAAGTACATTAAAATGGCACTACATAAATAAACTATGGCAAACAGAAGGGGCAGTTCTAATACTTGATAAGCACACTTTTTTTTTTATAGAATTAAACCAGGGTTTCTAGCCTTCATGAAGATTTGGGTGCATTGAAAGGTGAAGCTAGGACCTGTGATTAAATATGCAAAATGAAAATTCATTGGTCAAGTAAGTTGTTGTTTGTAGATATTTTTACTGTTAAACAGACTGGATATTTTTACTGTTGATCATAGTCCAACTCCATACTGAGTAGTGCTGAAGTGAAATGCAGGTTGTTGAGATATTTCAAAGTTTATTTATTTTGAAGAAAAGATGTGTTTTGAGCCAATGAAGTTAGTCTTATTACTATTTTTTGTGTCACAAATTAACCATAGTTCTCGAAAATGAAGTGAAAAATTATGGAGCCGTTACCACCTGATTCAAACACCTATAAAACATGTACGAGGGTATGTCTCACATCGCAACAATGTTTAAGTTTTTATCAAAATAATGATCAAGCAGAGATAAAATTTAGTTTATATATTGTTAGAATTCATTCAAAGTTGTGAACAAAATTTCATGTGTTTATTAAGAGAGAACGTATACAAAATGCGTAAGAGAAATGATTTGCAATCGTGTATAGATAGAATAATCATTGATCCAATTTTGAGGTACAGTAACAATTCTGTATTGTAGCTATGTAGGATTCTTGAAGCTGTGAGAAAAAGAAAATATGCATGTAATGCAAGTCTTTTCCAGATTGCTGTTAGATGATGGGAAGTTGTAACTATTGTGATATCTCAATTAGTAGAACAAACTTGTTGCTTGATATGTCTGTACTTGTCAGTTGTGAATCTCAAATTATTCAATTCCGAAGATAATATTCTTATTATGAATAGGTATCATTTTTTTTTATTCTATTGTAGAGCCTATAATCAAATATTTCAGCTACTCTCAGTACTGATGAATATTAGAAATGGTATTATTTGAAACTGATATTAATGAACAAACTGCAAGCTGTTGTCGATCAAAGCATTTCATTTGTTTAGTTTTTTGTAATTTTATAGACTGAATTGAATAATTGTCTCAACTCTAACCTTTTGTTCATAGGTAATTTGAAGTAAAAGTCATAAGCATATACATCTTGTAAATATATATTATAAGATACCCATCAGTAAATAAGATCGTTACCCACCAGTCTTAGTATGAATGTATCTTTTAACTTATTAAATCACAAATCTAGATTTTTGTTTAGAATAGACATATTTTCCATCTAATTCACACAATTTCATAGCAAATTTAAAGAAATAGTCATTTATTTATTTTCATATTTGATGAATGTTGATTTTGGAATGTTGAGCGTTGGGTTTCTTACAACCCAGTTTGATTTCATTCAGTTTTTTAGCCCTCCTCTCTCTGTAGTTTCATCATAATTTTTGAGTCATATTAAAACTGAATAAAAACATAGCTATTTATTTGATTCAACATACATAATGTATAAACATATATTGAAATTTGTTGAAGTTTTGATGGTCTGTGGTAAATGGACTATATATTAATCATTTTGATCATGCCCACTTGTTACTGATCACGCCCACTCTGTATCATTAAGGTAAGATGACAAACGTACAGAAAGAATAAAAAGCAATAAAATCCCTGTAAATAGTTCACAAGTGTCACCTGGATCTTCAATTGTATGTCAAATATTACTGACACTTGTATTTATCCTTCTGCAATTCTTGCAATTTCACGAAAAATTTTATGACTTCAAACTTTGAGAATGAAGGTTTAAACATCTACTTTCTTGACACATAATGTTCTTGTATTTCATCCTGTGCTATTTTTTCACCTCACAAAAAATCTGACGTAGGAAACTTCAAATTTGGAGATCTATGTTTAAACTTACTTTCTTGATACTTGAATTTCATTCTTCTGAAATTTTTTCATTTCACAGAAATCTGACAAACATAATTTAAACTTATAAAACTGAGGTTTATTACATACATGTCTTAAAGTGGTCTGATGGATATTTACCATCTTAAACACTCATAGTGATATTTTTTCACTTTATTTCATTTCTCCACAAATTTTCATACCAAATCTCTGCATGAAATGTTGTTTGGGTGTCGATCATCCACTCCGTTGGTTTTACCTGATGTACCATGTAGAAAGGTAGTGGCCGTTTTGTATTGTAGGTCTTTTTTTTTTTTTTTTTTTTTAATCTGAAATCAATACATACCCACACCACATGAAATAAAATAAAAGAAAACACTTTTGGTGTTTATTTTGTTTTGTAGATTTCTGTAAACTGTGCAAGTGTTATGTATGATATAGCACATGATGTGTTTACATTCATGGTTTTCGCAAACCACAAAGAAAGTCTCGTAGGTTTCCTACGATGAGTGTTCAGTTACGGTGGAGTAAAAGGTAGTTGGTGGTACTGTATATCTGTATATTTTTAGAAATTTTCGTTTATCATGGCAACAGAAAAAACTAGAAAATGTCTGTAAGACATGAATGCCCCCCCCCCCCCCCCCCCCATGTGAAATAATAGTGAAAGGTCTGAATGAAGTTGTTAGGTGGTATATACTGATTTGGGACGGGACGGGACAGGATGGACATGGGCAACGCTATATGCCCCCGGCCATAAATGGCGGGGGCATAAAAATCCTATGTAACAAATAAAACAAGGTTTTAAACCATGAAAGAAGGTATGCACAGATATTTCATGTTGTGCTGTGGTTTATCTCAACTTAATTTACTTTCACATTTAACCCATTTGGGGCACGCCCTACAATTCAAGGTAATGAACTCTTGCTTCTTTTAAGGGGACAATGGAGTGCCTAAGAATGCAATCTACTGTATTCCACTGCATGATAGTAAGAGATAACTGAAAGTGGGGCCCTTGCAGAACCGAGTGTTTTCTCCTGCATCTTCTACCAAGGGAATATGATAAAGAACAAACTAGATCTGCTCCGTGCTTTCCTCTCTTTGTGTCTTCTTGACACCCTTCCTCATGTGACCTTGGCTCTTACAAGGACTTGCAACCTCGTAAAAACAATAACTTTCATATTATCTGAACAAGTTAACAAAATTTGATGAGTGGGGATATTTCTCTGTATTTAGTAGGACTCAACTGATTTCTTTATGTGAACCTTGGATATCACAGAGTTACCTTAAGCAATTTTAGACAACAGCTCAAGTGTGCTTCTTTAAAGTGACTTTTATTGGGCAAAATTCCATACAGTCATCATAAGATGTACCAATTAAACATCTGAATATGTCAACTGCTGAATACAGAGTACTGGTGCTGACACACATGTGAATCCCCTTATCAACTCTGGTATAGTAGTACTATAACACATGTGGAGCCCCTTATCAACTCTGGTATAGTAGTACTATAACACATGTGGAGCCCCTTATCAACTCTGGTATAGTAGTACTATAACACATGTGGAGCCCCTTATCAACTCTGGTATAGTAGTACTATAACACATGTGGAGCCCCTTATCAACTCTGGTATAGTAGTACTATAACACATGTGGAGCCCCTTATCAACTCTGGTATAGTAGTACTATAACACATGTGGAGCCCCTTATCAACTCTGGTATAGTAGTACTATAAAGTTTACTTATATGCCAACAAGCCATCTTGGGAAATAAACCCACACCAACAAATATAGTGCATTGTAATAACCTCAAGAGGTTTTGGTCCTCTGTATTCCTTGCATAATGAATACAATTAATAAGTACATCCTTTAAAAAAAAAAAAAAAAAAATGAATAAAAATTAAATTAAATAGAGAAGATAAAAAATGATATATTATTTAATACAATTTAATACAAAAGATTAATAACAAAACAAATTTCAAAAGAAAGACATAAATTCAAGCACTTTCATTTTTGTGATTTAGAAATGAAAACTGTCAATCAATATGGTATCATTAACAACATTATCCTGAAGTATTGGAGTGTCTACAATCACAAACAAGGAATTCTGAAACATATGATGGGACTTATTTTGCCCTAAATCTCCAGCTCTCAGAGGGTCCCTATATGAATTTTGTTTAATGATTAGTATCACACAACATTACTTAAGGTAATAAGGTTTCAAGGACCAAACTGACCATAAGAAGTTAAACTCAAATTGGCTCGGGATTTAATAACAGAATAATTCTCTGAAGGATTTCATAGAGGTATGGACTTTATACACACAAATTTCATATCGCCAATAGAAATTTCATGAGTTTCACATTTGGAAAATCAATTTTACACACACAAAATGACAAACTCTAGACATTCGCACCAGACTCAAGTATTATTGAAGGAATCACAGAAAAGGTTGGGAATGAAAGCATCTAATTAATCATGTATCTGTTCACTCATTATCAAAAGTGATATCATTGGGCATACGGCAGGTTATGAAGTTAATAAAGTACATAAACAAGTGTCCAATAAATCACACTATTTCATCATCAACATTTTCCTAACTCACAACAACACAATTATACAGGAATTACCACACACAGTGACTGAGATTCTGATAAATATATCCAACAAATAAAATCTGCATCAAATACTGAATCACAGAATTTCCAACGACTGAAGGCACGTCTGGTGTATGTTCTGGTCAACCATTGGTGCCATGTGAAACCTGACTTTCAATGAATTTGTAGTTAAATTTTGGTAAGTCTGAATTGTTCCTCCATCAAAACGGGTGGCCTGGAGGCAAGAGGGTAAGATTTGAAGAAAAGTTAAGGTCAGGTAAAGGTTTATTTGCCTCGTCTTGTAGTCTCCTCAGTTGGCGATCTTTCTGATCAAGGAGACGTTTTAGTCGCAGGATTTCTGTATCTTTTTCCTCTACAATTTTCTTCATTTGAGCGATAACCTAAACAACATATGAATGAGAAGTTTTAGGAATAATAGGATTCTCATGTTCACAGGAGAAAATATAAACTTTCAAAAGAAACCTGAAATGTTACAATATATTCAAACAATTCACCCATTTTCATTTGCCTTTTTCAATGAAAAGTCTCACAGCAAAGAAGATATTTACTTCTGACCTGTTTATTTATAATATGTGATAAAGGTCATTATTTATTTTGATTTCTGCCAGGATTTGAATCCTGGATCCCTGGCTTATTAGTCGGACACTCCTGAGCTTAAGAGAAATTGTATCTAGCCAAGTAGTATATCACTGCAAGTATTCACAGGGTCTCGTTGATATAGGTAATGATTTTTACATATAACATGATGCTTTACTTAAAAGTATAAATTGTTTAGGTTCTCTATGGCAGTTACCTGGTCTTTGGTGAGGAAGAGTTCACTCTGTAGAAGCTCCTTGGCTGTTGGACGGTGGTGAGGGATTTTAGATGTCATCTTCTCCACAGCAATAGCCTGTACGAAAGCATTTAGAATATTGTATGTAAAAATTTACGACACTACATAGGTATGACTGTATGAGCTACAAATGAAAATTTTAATTCCAGGACCAAATATTTCTTTAAAATCTTGAGTTTTACAGCATCTAATACAGAATTATAAAGATAAATATGATATGCACATGCCTATAAGTTAGCGACCATCATTTCAGTATGGAAATTTTTAATCAAAACTGAGTTTTCCTTTTATAAAGTTAACTCTTGTTGTACTCCTTGCAGTGTCTCCATTTGTGTTTGGTGCCTAGAGATACACTCAACTTAATGATTACTCTAATCAAGCTGGGGTACCCTATATTCTAACATAACTCAAATTTGTTTTGCCACCTACAGCAACACTTGCACATGCGTTACTGGTAAATCGTGGGTGTGCACATACTACAGTTAAAAATGGAACATCAAAAAGTGACAACTGTTGAAAGGTGGTCAGCTTCTGGAATGGTTCAGTTTGGTATGACAAACAGCCTCTGAACCAAACCAGGCATGCTGACCAATGTCTCAGATATGGCAGACTTCGAATGACTACAGATGAAGAAGACAGACTACTGTCTAGACAAGCATGGTGAGCCCAATAACCAATGTTCATGTTAGCCTATGTAGTGTCAACAGACGTTTGATCAACAGGTGGTTTCCCTCTTGCCAACAATTAAAACGTCCTCTTTTGACTAAAAGGCACAAACAAGCAAGACTGCAATGGGTTTGTGATCACCGAACATAGAATTTTAGGTCTTGACAACAAGTCCACTCATCTGTTGAAAATCACATTTTACTTAGCTGACAGATGCCAGAATCTGTGTTTGGAGACCAAGAAATATGGCATGACATCAGATGGGGATGCTTTTCTCTAATTTGTAAGCTTTGCTTCTAAGTCCTTGATGGAACTTTCAATGGGCTAAAAACTGTTATCAGATGGTTTGACCTTTTGTTGTACCGCAATCTGATTCTCATCTATTGGCTGATCAGCTCCCATGGTATACAATATTTCACTAGACGTGAACCTGATTGAATATGAGTGCAACTATCTCAAACAAAAAGTGAATGCACAGGATCTGAATGCCTAACTATTGGAGAATTATGGGCTGCATTGGTTCAGGAGTGGCATAAGTTTCCTCAGGACAAGCTTCAACATCTAGTCATTGGTAAGAGATGATGGGCACAAGAATTGTACCAGAAGTATGTTGGCTACAACACATACTGACATTTTCATAACCAAAAGAACTTGATGATAAGTTAATCTTCTTGATTATGTAATATGTTTTTGGTCTGATCAGGTATCTGTTCATAATACACAGCTAAATTCAATTTTTTTTTACCTGAACTTTAGGCATGCCTTGATCTGCATGTCTTTTTAAAATGATACACCACTTCTGGTTCTGTAAATTTCTTTTCTAATCAACTGTGTATAGTTTCATTAAATGCCTAAAAAATGTTCTTATACATCTTGTTAAGTTGGCATTGAAAATATTTCTTAAATACAGCAAACAAAATTAAACCCCATTGAAGATACGAGTGGTCCCTAATTTGTAGCCCTATTTATATATTACTTGATCCAGGAAAGAAAATAAGAAGCCAAAGACACAGATAACACACTGAAATAAATGTACAGGAGACCCATGGGGCCTGTAACACTCAACAAGCATAATTGATTCTTCCAAGAATGTATCAGACTAAATTAGGTCAATTCAATCATTCCTTTTTTTCAAATTTGCTCTATTTCCCCTCTGGTCCCAGCAGACAGAGACCAAAGGTTTGAACATAACTGATTCCCCTTCACTTAAGAATGCTTCAGACCAAATTGGGCAAAATCAAATCATTCCTACATAAGGAGTATGATTTTAAAGGATTTACTCTATTTCCCCTCTGACCCCAGGAGGTTGAGACCTATTGTTTATACAAGGCTGATCCCCCTTCACCCAGAATCGCTTCAGACCAAATTTGGGTAATATACATGAATTCCAACACAAGGAGTAGGATTTTAAAAATCGCAAAATTTCCCTTTTGGGCCCTGCCCCTCAGGCCCCCTAGGGCAGAGAACCAATATATATTCAAACTTGGTTCCCCTGCCCCCAAGGATGCTACAGACCAAATATGGTCAAAATCTGTTTGGTTATTCTTGACTAGTAGTGTTTTTTTATTAAAATGTTGATGGACCTGCACTATGGCTTAAGCTCACTGGTCCTTTGGACCAGATTAGCTAAAAATTATCAAAAGATCACCTTTGACAGTCTAATAATATCACTTGAAATGTTGATATATTTGACATAAATCAAATTTTTCTTTTTAAATATTTTTCAAATATAGCAATTTCACAAAGGTGAAGATAAATAAACAGAACTTTCACCGAATCTTTGAACAATACAAGGAAAATTTGTACAAAATTTATCTAAACTGAATCTGGTTACATTACCTCAGAAGGACAGCTTTCTATAAACTCCTCATCCAAATGACCTTTCCTTAGAGAGCCAAGGAAACGAGACTTTTCCATTCCTGTATCAAACTTGTTACATATCTCATACAGCAGTACTCCAAGACTGTAGATATCACACTGGAAAATAAGACAGAACTATGTAGTGGGCCAACTCAATCTAGCTAAAAGTCTGCCAAATCAAAAAAAAAATTTAACAATCAATGCAGTTTAATTACTGTGTTACTCTTAAACAATGCCTAAAGTCCTGGTCTGGAGAAGAAATACATATAAGGTTTACCTTATTGTTATAAATATTGCCTTCAAGCTGTTCTGGCGAGGCGTAAGTCGTGGTACCAACACCAGATGTATGGTCACTCCACATCAAATCATCTGTCAAAAATAAGCATGAACATAACTATCTCAATCAAACACAAACTTGAATATGCTTGTCAAATACAAGCTTGTATATTAATACTGTTAGCTCAAATACACTGACCTCTGTTAATCACATGTTGAAAAAAGACATTATAGCTTAAATACAAGTAAAATGCTGCTAAGTCGTACTCCTTGGGAACATATCTCTCAACAGTTTAAGGAATACAGGAGTAATCAGAGGTCGGTCATAGACCGTAAGGTAATGATCATCCGTGAATGCCATGTGACCATAAATGATGTATTCAATATTCTTTTCCTTGATCAGTCCAACTAATCATTGTAATAAAGTTTTGACAAACTTATAATTCAGTGTCTTGAATTTTACTGCAGACAGATGTGTAAAATTCACTATTTACCTCACTTTTCCTTTCCAGCAAAATGTAACATGCATAAAGCATATTGCTGAGAACAGATGGCAGAATGACTTGATTTAACATCGTCTTAACTTCAGGTGATAATAATATGTTGATTCTATGGTCTTATACTACATTTGTTATTAATTATAGTTTGTAATAAAGTCAGTAAGTGTACATGGAGAATCATGTTGGCTAGTTTATCAGTACCCTCCTGCTAAATATGTGCCATTCCACAATTTTTATTTCACTTTAAAATCAAATTCCATTTGAGCAGTGGTTGATTTTTTTCTATAGCAATCTAGAATATAAATTTTCTTAAAAAATCTGAGTAAAATAATGATTTAGCAGATGGTACTTATGTAATCAAGCCATCGTTAATGTTATTATCTGCTTTCCTGTCAGACACCTGAATATACACTCAGAAATGGTACCCTTAAGTTAATCGCATTTATGTGGGACACAGGTAATTTTGAGCTACCCTGATAGCTGGTAGACAAGACAAGGGAGAAAACACTATTTTTAGGGCCAGAGATAAAAATGAGTTCAAGGATTTTTTTTTTAAATAACAGCTAGAGGAATCCAAGATTCAATAACAAGGTTTATATAAGGGCTGGGTCGTGACTGAGTAATCAGTTAGACAAATATATTGTATTTGAGGAATGCTGGTTCATGAAAGTGAGCTTTAACAGTATACCAGTCTGTTAAACACAAGCATTAACATATCAATATGGAAGAAGTCACCATTTTAAGGGCAAGAATTCGAACCTGGGAAAGTATACCATTTCTGTATTCATCCTCCACATTACTTCTGACACAAAAGACATGGGGTGGGCTAGTTACAGGACAACGAAAAGAAAAAAAAAGTTTGCGATTCAATCATCAGTGTTACATATGGAGGGGGCTTATTATCAGACATGGTCTTATTGCTATCTTGATCACACACAGTAGCAAGTCATAAGAAAACTCAACACTGCCAAGAGACTGAAATCTTTACAATGGTGTAGTAATTGAGAAAGATAAGTGGACAGATACCGGTGGAATCTGGTGTAGGCGTCATGAAGACACTCTCAGTTGATGGGGACAATAGATCATCCTTTGCCAGACCAAAGTCGCCAATCTTCACATGGTTCAGTGGTTCATTGATAAAGATATTTTTCGGCTGTGAAGTAAAATGTGCAATATTCAAAATATTATAAAAAAAACTTGACATTCCAAATCAATGTAAAAGACAGAATTGATTTTATGATATGAAATTGATTAAGTTTAATTTTTTAACTATGCAGTCATCCCTTTTTCCATTTTTCAGTAAAAATACAGATCTTGAAAGGTTTTCTGTCTTAATCCTGCTAATAACCAAGAAAATAAATGTGAGTGATTTTTTGAAATATTGGAATATGAACAAGTACCTTGAGATCTCTATGTATAAGTCCTTGGGAATGTATGAAATCCACACCTTTCAGAATCTGTTTAAAGATCTTTAGGTTCAGTGTAGAGTAGTCATTTCTAAAATCTGAAACAATGCCATAATTCATCAATTTACTCTCTAATAGATCTTGAGTACATCATATGCAATATTTTTTCTCAAACATGCTTTAGAATTTAAAGAAAGAGACCTTAAGGGCCTTATCAACAGAAAATTATTTTCATTCTAAATAATGCTGCTACTTTGTAGGAAATCTGGATGACATCATGAAATATACCTATAAAATATCATAAAATATCATGTATTATGTACTTTTTCAAATGATAAATATCTCAAATAACTCCATATTACGACCTTGGAACTCTCTGGGCACTTCCAAAGAGGAAAGGAGAAGAACAATGTTTAAAGGGGCATACTCTGGTAACATCACCATTATCAACCTAAAATAACTCAACTTATTACTTCAAACTCAGAGTTACAGGGTAGGTTTCGTACAGTACCAAAAAATAGCATTGGCTCATTATTTCTACTGAACAATATATAAAGTTGGGCTTATTACCAGACATAGGCTTATAGCCTGATTAATACAGTAAAATAGGGGAAGGTATTATCTCTGTGTACCATATGGTTCTGAAGATAAAATTTTAGTTTACAACATGTTTTACCTGTTAACCTCATGATGAAATTAGTCAAGGTCATTTATGTTAAGAAAATTTATAAAAAATCATCTACTGACTGCTTGTCTACACCACATACCAAAGTGTCATCACTCTTTCAATCATAGATCTGAATTCAGATGTGTTCTTTGATGTAACCTGTGAAGTATGCCATCAGCATTTAACTGGTCAAACTTCATAGCATTCCATCCCAAGTACATACTAGTCCAGTATCACGACCCTGCTATTTACTACTTTCTAGAAGAAGGTGTTTAAATGAAAATGTTGGTTTACATGTAGAAGTACAGACTATAAACTAACAAGCACTATGTCCAATGCAAGCTGAAAACTTAGACTAAACTGTATGTAGAATCACCAACCTTGTAAACAGGTACACGAGCTATTTCTCCTCCTGATCCATTGGTCCAGGGTCACACTACATAACTCCATTTGTATAAACAGACAGACACGCATCTAAAACAAAAAATTAATCCTCTCATTCTAATAAATCTGGAATATTTATGTCCAAAGAAAAAGCAGAGCAAACAGGGGCTCATAACAGATACTTAATTGTAATCTAGTCTATATATTAGTCCTTCAAACAATACAGGTGGGATTTCACACATTTAAGGAAGGGTGCTTGGGTACATTTTGCTGAAGGTACCATGTGTATAAATTCAAAGCACATAGTGTAGATGAGGGAAGGGGTTAGGAGATATCAGTGAGGATTTCACTGTCATTAGATAAGAAACTATTTCCAGAGGATTAAACAATAACTTAAAACAGGAAAGGAAATGGATATAGTTGCTTCACATAGCTGATCTATAGATGGTAAGGAGGCCATTCCTAGAAGAGATTGGCAAAGAAAAGTAAAATACACAAAAGGTTTTGTCGAGCTGGACTAGTATTGAAGAGTTTATACAATGCAGGCAAAAAGTTGAAAAGGTAAAGGGTTACAAGCTAAAGATTTTGTTCTTTAGCTTTATTCTGTCATTTCACGGAAGTAGGCATTTTGTTTCTTGGCTGGATTCATCACCTTATCAAAAGCCTAGGCCACTCAGAGGTAGGACTTCCTTTCAGTAGCTGATGGCTACATTAATGAACAACATACAAGAGGCCCTTTCATATGCCATTGTGATTTGTGCAGTTGTGGTAAAGTGCCTTACCCATAGACACAACCATGTCAGCAGCCTGATCCACTTCTCAGCTTCCTGAGAGACACCAAGCTGCCACAAGTAAAGAGTATCGTAGCATGCAATTCAGATCTTCACCCGAGCATACATAGGCCAACAAATCAAGATATCATGACCCAAAAAGTAAACAGACTTTTAATGAGTACCTTTTCATACCTGTACAGATTAATCTAAGTCTCCTACCATCTTTTGTCCTGTAATAAGGCATGGGGCCAAACATACCCATCTTAACTAAAATTCAGAGTCTGGTTCTATCACAGAACAATAACATTTGTTTGTATTCTACTTAACAGCAATATATATAGAAGCTTCGTGTTGTATAAATACAGCAACGAGATATCTTACCTTAAAATTAATAGTATCTTCTGAATAATGACAGCTCTCTTCCTGTGAATGTCTGCTTACTTTCTCTCCATTGATAGCAGGATCACAGCTTAGACTTCTCCTGGTCACAAAGCCCTGACTCCAGAACACGCTTACGCCTGATTTTTCATGCATGACACTTACATCATGGGAAAATTGACTTCTTATGGCAACTGACTTTTGTGTAAAAGACAGATTATCAGGAATATCTTCATTAGTTTTTTCAGCAACCTTTTTCTTGCATGTATGTTTGAAAACATTTCCAGAAAATGGCCTTTGAAGTGAAAATAACTTATGACAACCATCATTGCTAGACTGATTTCCTCTAAGTCTGTCACAAGCTTGACAAGAGTCGCTTGAAATGCTATCGTCAGTACTACTACTGTCACTGAGCTCTGTAATTTTCCCAGGAGATCCGACTTTATACCTGTTGGGAGGTACCACTGACTTTTCTGAGTGGGGCAGGAACACTATGCTGTTTTCAGAATCACTGCCATCATTGTCATCACTGACACTATAAAATATATATATATGTATATTTATACTTCTAAGATCAAAATAGTGATTCTTTGATCTTCATTCACTCACAAATGTATATCATTAGTCTATACAAACAATGGCTAGTAGCTGATACTATTTTTTCCATAGTGAATTCTATTGCTAGAAACGTTTTCTATCGTGTGTTTTCCTACCAGAAATTCATAATAGTTTGTGTCTGCATGAATGATTTTCATAAAACAGAGAAAATAATTGTTTTCTTCATTTCTGGAAAATAACACATTTTCATGGAGGAAAAACAGACTTGAACGTGATATCAATTATGACTGGATGATTTTTAAAATTTTTCTGCATCATCAAAATTTAAGACAGGAAATCAAAGTACAGTAAAGCTTAACTCAAAATACAGATATAACAACCATCCCAAAAAGAGGTTGGTTTGTAGCCTTAGAGAAATCAATTAATCATTTTTCATATTAAAAATTTTCTGTACCTTGGATCTATACCTCTGAAGGGCTCTTCCATATTGATGTACCCTGCAACAGAATGACAATAGTTTACAATGATATGACCATTATATACACTGTACTCAATCCCTTTGTCACAATAAAATAAATTGTAACAAATGATTTATGTACTTAAAATATGTTTAAAGTACAGTTGCACCTTAAAATAAGTACCGGAAGCCAACAAACGTAATTCTGGCTAAAATTCAAGGGTAGGCTTGCTTTTGTGGACCTCACAATCCACCTGTATTATAGAATGGACATGTACCACTCTCTCCCCTTTCCTCAGCTACCTAAAGCATGTGTATGTACAACTCCTGGACTTTTGCCATAAAAATGTTTCCAAATTTACAATTTTGCTTCAGTCAAATGTTTTCTGTTTTTGCAGCTTAAGTTCTGGTTACTGCCAAATGTAGGCCTGAAACCTGCGACTAAGAAAAGGAGGGCTAAGGATGGTTCGACAACCATTCAGCCACCACGACTCATTAAAAACTTAAATTATCAACATTTCATTTCTCTCTACATACGTGGTATAAACTCACCATCAGACTCCCTGGTTTGCTGCTCCAACCAGGCATTGTTGTACCCCACAATGTTAGAGTGACGTAAAGTTGCCAAAGCCTTCACTTCCCTAAGAACCTGGACAAAATAGTTCAAATAAATGTATAACCTGTTCCTGTGCAACAACTCCACACTCTACATAACAGTAAGTGGAAACTATATACAAATCTTTGGTCCATGTATATCTGAACACTACTTAAACACATCAGACTATCACTACCAACACCTGATTTCTAGTCAAGCCGTTGACAGATACCTAGTTACTTGGATAGTTTGCATTAATGTATATAGTCATGATCTTATTTATTATTGTTGTTGTTAAATTAACTATCAAGTCATTCTTATGTCTGTTTAACGTACTCGATAATTCTGACAATCAAAGATGGCAGTCTAACAGAATCTTCTATTATTCTCATGAAAAAAAAAATCCTAAAGCTTCTCCCACTTAGTCATTTAATATCCCAAGAAGAACTGTGCACATCTTTAAGGGTTTTACGGTATATATAAAAGATATTCCAGATTAGTACTTACAAACTACAAGTGTACTATACAAACCTTCAGCCATATCTCTGGTTTGGAATGTTTAAATCTTATTTTCTTTATAGCATAAGCAGTGCCATCCAATTTGTGTGTGGCCTAAAGGAAAGATTATTTATCAAATTTGTTAAATTGACAAATTAGACACACAACAAAACCATCAAGCAACAGTATATGTAAAACTTAAGCTAAATTAATATCAAATTTAATGTAATTATTTTGATATTTCATAACTTGACAAAATATATCACCCAGTTAATTTCTAAACTTAAAATGGGTTTTTAAAGTGTTAATCAGAGCATTTCTTAAATAATGATCAGGTATTTACGAGCCAGAGTCAAACCTATTTACCTGGTACACAGTACCAAATCCACCTTTTCCAATACGAAAGTTTTCCGTAAATTCCAACTTGTAGCGAGATGTCTGCATCTGTGTCAGTTCATTAGATGACAGTAGAGAGTAATGTTGAGTTTCTAACCTAAAGAAATATACAAATTGAAAATTCAGTTTAACCATGTGAGAATTTATAATATTTTCAATTCCTTCACAAAGAAACAATGTTAAGAAATGTATGCTTGGCCAATCTGTTCATCCATGCATCAGTCTTTTCATAGAACAAAATCTCTGCACAATATATCTCAAGAACCCCTCATAAGACTGAGTTTATATTCACACCATAGTATCAGAACACCTGTTGCTACACTTGTTCAGATTTAGGCAGTAATCAGTTAGAAATATGGGTCAAAGGTCACACATGATCACTTTTAATTATCTCAAGGAGGTAATCATATACACTGTTACATTTCTTTTTTAACAGAAATGTTTAAAATCATCAAAGATAAATAACAGATCTATATTTTTTAGCATTTTTAAGTAAACTCTACCTTTTCCTCTTTTCAGACAATATTTCTTACAACAGCTGTACAGAATATTCAAGACCTATTCATCATGTAATTAGATCAAGTACCTGACTTCACCTTCACCCAAGTGTCCTGCTGATGGCAAAGCCGGGAGATTTCTCTGGTGAAAGCAAAAGTATTATTTTCATTTCAATTTTCAATTCAAATTTGTATGTCCGGCAACCTATAGTAATTGCGTCAGATGAAAAGTGAAGGAATGTGCTTACTATAGGACAACACTACTGCATTCCTTTGTAATTACACTGAACAGTAACTAATAACTATAGGTGGGCTTATTTAATCACTGGACTGCTTCCAGGAGGCATTCATGGCCATATGAATGGCAACAGGGCAAGGGCAAATTAAATAAGTTCATGAATGCCAACTGACAGCAGTCTTATGCTTATATTTATCACGTTCAGTTTCATTCTTTTTATAAGATAAGGAAACCTCAATCTGTTTACATTTATATAGATACAATATTCCTACATTGTTGGCAGTTCAAGATCTAGTAATACACAATTGATTTTGGTCTGATTATATTGTAGAAATGCCAAATGATGGCAAATATTACATGGCGTATGCTTATTACAGAATAAATACAATTAGTATAAGAACTTGGTGATTTCACAAAATGTTCACACATCATAGAAATAGGAATTAGCAATGTCAATTTTACCATGGCTGCTTTGAGCACTTTTTGCATAAAGCATCTGTATTGTGACCTGATACTGCCCATCTCATCAAGCACTGTCATTGGGGAGAAAACATTCATCTTAATCAGGTGTTCACTGATCACTGAAACAGAGAAATGATAACATTAATCTTAATCAGATGTTCAGTGATCACTGAAACAGAGAAATTGATAACATTCATCTTAATCAGGTGTTCAGTGATTACTAAAACAGAGAAATGATAACATTCATCTTAATCAGGTGTTCAGTGATCACTAAAACAGAGAAATGATAACATTCATCTCAATCAGGTGTTCAGTGATCACTGAAACAGAGAAATTGATAACATTCATCTTAATCAGGTGTTCAGTGATTACTAAAACAGAGAAATGATAACATTCATCTTAATCAGGTGTTCAGTGATCACTAAAACAGAGAAATGATAACATTCATCTTAATCAGGTGTTCAGTGATCACTAAAACAGAGAAATGATAACATTCATCTCAATCAGGTGTTCAGTGATCACTAAAACAGAAAAATGATAACATTCATCTCAATCAGGTGTTCAGTGATCACTAAAACAGAAAAATGATAACATTCATCTCAATCAGGTGTTCAGTGATCACTAAAACAAAATTCCATCAAAGGTGTTAAAATATCTTATTTCCGGTTAAAACATACTTATGATAAAGGTTACATGTATTGTAATCTAAACAGTAAGTATACAATGTATGTACTTACTCTTGAAGAGATCCCTCCCCCTAGCCTCATCCTTAGCACAAGCCACACAGAGCTGTTCTAGGATAGATATCATGAGTAGATGAGATGGTACAGATCGTGGCACCAAGGCTGCCTCCTTATCAGGTCCTTCTGCCCCAGGGGACAGCCGAGATTGTCCATCCCCCTCACGTGGTAGGTCAGAATCTGTTGGTAATTTCATATATACAATGTTTAATCAATATATATATACATACATATAAAACATAAAAGTTATCAAGTCTTGACTATCTTATAATTGATCTGTTTTCAGGTGAGTACCAGGATTAATAAATCCTCCTTTCCACCTGAAAACAGGTCAATAATTGTTTTCTTTTCTATGCTCCTACTTGGTCAAAAACTGCAGCCCAGGTTACTGGATTGTGATATTCACCTGTGAGACACTGCATGGGGTTTCGGATGTTTGTACATGTATTCACCTACCGTGCACAGATTCTACCTGTATTGTAGTACCTGAATATTAACGTCACAAAGTATTTAGACCTATAAGAGGTTTTTGACCAATCAGTATGTAGGAAAAATGACAGTCACATGATAAAACAAATAACACAAATTTGAATTATTATCATTCAATGTGATTTCTTGGACCCCAACTTTATAACTAACTGCTTTTACCATTAGGGCAGAAACAAGAGGCCCATGGGCCTTAACGGTCATCTGACAAAAAGCAAGCCAAACCTAGAAAGTGGGTTGAGGTCATTCATTTGAACAAACTTGGTAGCCTCTCCTCCAAGCATCTTACAGGCCCAATATCAGCACTCATGGACTTTTGCTTGTTGAGAAGAAGTCGTTTGTATATTTTAACATATTTGACCCCTGTGACCTTGAAAGTGGGTTGAGGTCATTCATTTGAATAAACTTGGTAGCCTTTCCTCCCAGCATGCTACAGACCCAATATCGGCACTCATAGACTTTTGCTTATTGAGATGAAGTCCTTTGTATATTTTAACATATTTGACCCCTGTGACCTTGAAAGTGGGCCAAGGTCATTCATTTGAACAAACTTTGTAGGGCTCCATGCCAGCATGCTATGGGCCAAGTATTAGCCCCCTAGGCCTTCTAGTATTTGAGAAGAAGTTATTTAAAGATTTTGACATATTTGACCCCTGCGACCTTGAAAGTTGTTCAAGGTCATTCATTTAAATAAACTTGGTAACCTTTCCTCCCAGCATGCTACAGACCCAATATCGGCACTCATAGACTTTTGCTTATTGAGATGAAGTCCTTTGTATATTTTAACATATTTGACCCCTGTGACCTTGAAAGTGGGACAAGGTCATTCATTTGAACAAACTTTGTAGGGCTCCATGCCAGCATGCTATGGGCCAAGTATTAGCCCCCTAGGCCTTCTAGTATTTGAGAAGAAGTTATTTAAAGATTTTGACATATTTGACCCCTGTGACCTTGAAAGTTGTTCAAGGTCATTCATTTAAACAAACTTGATAGCCCTTCATCCCAGCATGCCACAGGCACAATATCAGCAATCTGAGCCTTTTGGTTATTGAGAAGAAGTTGTTTAAAGATTTTAACATATTTGACCCCTGTGACCTTTAAAGTGGTTCAAGGTCATTCATTTGAACAAACTTGGTAGTCCTTCATCCCAGCATGTCACAGGCCCAATATCTACACTCTGAGCCTTTTGGTTAATGAGAAGAAGTTGTTTAAAGATTTTAACATATTTGACCCCTGTGACCTTGAAAGTGGGTCAAGGTCATTCATTTGAACAAACTTGGTAGAGCTCCATGCCAGTATCCTCTGTGCCAAGTATTAGCCCCCTAGACCTTCTAGTATTTGAGAAGAAGTCGTTTGAATGAAAAGTTTACGGACGGCGCACGGCGGACGACGACGGACGAAGCATGATGACTATAGGTCATCGGACCCTTCGGGTCCAGATGACCTAATAAAAGGTAGGTCAGTATTGTTAATATCACATAATTAGGTTCTTATCCAGTAAATTTGAACGTGTAATATATTTTGTATATGTAACTAGTTACATATACAAAATAAAGTAACTAGTTACAAATACAAAATATATTACATGTTCAAATTACATATACCCTAGAGTAAATTTTGATTGGTTAGCCTTATCACATTTCCCACAGCTTTTAATATTACTACACCTGGTAGTACTACTACAGGCTTCATAGTGAAAATGGACTCTTTCCAGTGGGCGCACCCCTTCAAATTGATGACAATTAAATAATAATAAATAAAAAAAATGTGTATGATGGACACTTCAATATAAACATTTACAATTATTCTGATAACAGTTATGACACTTTGTTCCAATCAATATGAGAATTTTTGAAGCTCAGATAAATAATATCTGGCCTCAGTCGATATTGCTGATCATTGTTAGCTTACCTATTGGTTCCGTTAATGTATACCTTGTTCTCATTTGAAAATGTGACATCACTTACTTAACCAAGATTTACATGGCAGGTGACATGAGTTAAGCAGAAGATGCTTACTCTGCCAGAACACATTATTATCCTGGTACTTGTTCATATTTGCCCTAGTTTTATTGAATTTTAATTGTGTTTCTGTTGACATGTTGGTATTTTTTGTTTTTGTTTTTAGGTATTTCTTGATTGTGTTTTAGAGGAAATATGACAGTCTATCCTGAACTCAAAAGGGAGATAATGAATAATTTTTTACATTATAAAAAAAAAAAAAAAAAAACCTTGCATGAATGTTTCCCTTTGTTATGATATCATAATGATCACAAATTCCAATAAATGATGATAGATTTTTACCTCAGAAAGTTTCCAATCACATTAAGACTTGTTATCAACTGTCAGCTGATAAAGAACCAAGATGTTTAAAGCTATGGGATACTTTAATTTAAAGATACTGTATCATAGGAATTTTTTAAACAAGTGTCCTTTTTTTGCTATTTTCGCCGAAAGGTCACAAACCCAATATAGATCTAGCACATTTTAACTGAGAAAAGGTTATAGTATACAAATTCAGTTCCTGCATTTTAATAGAAAATAAACTTATCAGGTTTCACTAAAGGCTGCTTGTAAAGTTTACTGCCTACAAATGGGAGCATTTATTACTTTAAACATGAAAATATTCTCACATTAACCATCAAGAAGCAGATGAACATTGAAATAATTTAGGTTTTTTTTCATAGTAACCTCCCCTTGTCCATCATTACACGAAAACTCAAGTTTCTTACACCATGGTAAGTTTAGGTCAAGAATTGTAGCAATATATGCAGGAAATAGTCAGGAATACTAGTTGATAAAAAACAATGTTATGGTTGATTATACACTTTCTCTTTTATTCATTTATCTTGTTATAATTTCATCAACCATACACCTGCATGAAACATACCATGGTATAATGTTAAACCACACTATTTACATTGAGTTTTATTGTAAGGAAAAGTCAAGTGGACTTGTTAAGAGTCTTCCCTATACGTACTGGTTCCTAGCATCTAATAATCAAAGTACTGAAAGTACTGAGAGGCTAAACGTTTTGAAAAATGTTCACGAATAACCACAAAGCTATATTACTTTCCCCATACTCCTACACTTTGGAATGCAAAAATTACTAAAATGAGAGAACCAGAGGCTATTTTTCTTAATTTTAAGCGATTTGATATATTCTTTAATTCTTATTTCAAATTTGACGACAATAATGTGAACAAATCAAAATAGGTAAAAAAAAAAAAAAAAAAAATACACACAACCATATATTTATCGCCAATAAGCCAAATGATAAATAGGTCTATGATGAAGTTGACTAAATAGAACCTTTGAAATACCCAAGATGTTGCAATTACTATCCTATCAATATGAGGATTTAAACAAATCGAAAGGACTTTATACCTACTTCTTTATTTTGAATGTATTGCAAAGTAATAGTCCTTACTTATTATAATTATATTTGTAGTTGAGGAAAGTAAATAAGGTAAACACAGCATTTCAGATAGATTAAAGTGTAAGTAATTACATTAAATGTATTTACATGCCTATCTTCCTTGAAGTATCATGGTTAGACTTTTCTTCCAGTAATTATGTCTATAAAGACATAGTTCTTTGAGATTAAACCAGACTTCCATATATATACAAAATTTACAATATTTTCACTATAGCTACTACTATTTCTGATCTCCAATGCAGTAGATAATGCCACCATGACACGCTAAATGAATAAATATGTTATGAAAATATTTCGTTCTAGTTAATTGATAATTATAAACATGAATATTTTGGGGTTTTTTTTATACACGCTTTGTTTGAAGGAATATTTTCATTTCAAGGACACATTAACAAACCTTGAGAAATCAGCATAAACAACCTTCATCAAATAAAACTAAAAGACAAAAAATATAAGTTATAACAGAGTTAACATCATGATCAGTACAGCATTAAAAATATATTATTCATAAATCATGAACACCAAATGTAACTTGCCTACGAAGCGCAAACTTTTTATCTTCAAAAACTTGAAAAAGTGTCATGGCGGTGGGTGTGAAAAATCTGAAAAAGTGTCATATCGGCGGGTATGCGCGTGGGACGAACAGTCCAATTCGGTGACATCTAATGAGGTAAAGTGATGTTATATATTAAGACGATCTTGCCACAACGACAAGGATTAAAACAAAATTGATGTTCTGTTTGTAAGTTTTGTTTGTTTATAAGTGTTGTTAGTTGATAATTCAAACTAAGCCCCCAGACTAGCTTCTGATCAACTCGCACGTACAGTGTTCTGTACGCTTACGTCATGTCGAGAATTCCGTTAATTATATTGTTAAAAATTTATCAATAGTTCAACCACACTGTGCTTCTTTTTTGAAATATATAGTAATCGTATTGTTATTAAAAATTAAACTAATTTTGGATGCTTTTAAAATAGCGATTTGAAAGATCGCGGCATTATTTACGCAAAAATTTGCTGCTAGAGGGCTCTAACTCTTTTCGATATTTCAGCCAATGAGAAGGCCAGGATCGGTAAATTTTGTCTGAAAGGCCGTCGCAATAGGCTATGCGTACTGAGTACGTTTAGCCTAAAAATCAACAAGAGTCTAATAGATAATGCACCAGTATAGAAAAATTATCCTCCGCGGAATACTAGTTTCTAAGAAATGTTTGATAGACCTCTCAGTATTAGGTCTAAACACAATCTCATTAAAATTGACCTGACACTTCATTGTACACTGTGTATCAACTCTCCATCCTCTCAGTATCAACATACTACAATGTATGTAACTGTAAATCCCAAAGAGTAACTTAAACCCCTGCAGTAGTTAATTCTTCTTGGGACATTTTAATGATAAAATGGAACTCTCCATCCTCTCAGAATCAGCATACTACAATGTATGTAACTGTAAATCCCATAGAGTAACTTGAACCCCTGCAGTAGTTAATTCTTATTGGGACATTTTAATGATAAAATTGAACATTACAAGAAAGGCAATGCTAAAACTAGCAAAAGTATCAGCTAAAAAGTATTATTACTACAAAACTCAAAAAGCTGCTATAAAAATATCTCATTTCATGCATGTTTATACATTTTGCATGCATAAACACCTCAGCATAATGCCAAGTTAAACTTTTAAGTTTTACTGAAAGTTTACTGTCTGGAGGCTAGAGCATGCATTTATATAACAGCAGTATTCCTAGTACAACACCTATAATTTACATATATCATTACCAATATTTGTATTTCAACATCAATGATCTACAAAATGTATACTTACCATCAAAGGTACGGATTGGCTTAGGTCTTCCACCTCCAAACTTGAATTTTGACCGAGTCCCAATGACAAGAGGTCTGATGTTTTTAGTTCCATTAGCCATGTCATGTTTATTCAAACCCGTTTGTTGTCCTCTTCATTGTCAACGATTGCGTCATACTGAAAAAAAGCAGATAAAAGTTCACAGTTATCTGGACAAAAGCCCTAATACTGAACCAATATTTATCTCTTTGATAAGCATCGAGTCATGTACATCTTTTTTTATTCTGGAAATTTCCACAGCAAATCCGGCAAATAGCAACAGCTTCCGACAAATCTCTGAAAGTCTGTAGAAGGTTTGCAAATAAATGTAAAAGAACGATCAAATGAATTGTCATGATATTCATAAAATCTCGTTTTTTCAGTTGACAGTATAACCACGGACTTATATACACAGTATATAAGTCCGTGGTATAACTTAAATGGAAATAACAACAAAAAGTTCTGGGTCACTGCTTTCTGTTTCCAATTTAGTTACTGACGCAATATTCAGTGATATCAAATACAACTATTCACATATGGTGATAAACATGTATACTGTGTAAACAGTACATAATGATTTGTGCCGTCATAAAAATAACTTATACAGTATGCCTAGCATACCTTTTATCGGTACTGTAGTTTTGGTGCGCCTGTCGTTCGGTCTGCAACATGCAACCACATAAGGGAGATAATCAGTGCAAAATACGAAATGGTACAAAGTTACGGAACTTCCTTTTCTTGAGCTCTGAATGAACAAGAAGAAAATTGTGAATTTTAGCGCGACCATGCAGCTATTAATATTATTTATGCATTCTTTTGACAAATTACAATATAGAAATATTGGGAAAAGCTAGTATCAATGTGAAACAACACAGACCAAGTAATTTTCACCTTCCCCAACAATTGCGCGTTGCGATTTTTTTTCATATATGTATATATATTAGTATAGAGTCCTGATCGGCAAAATATTGTGATGTCGATATTTGGAATCAATGCTATCATTAAACGCACTTATTTTGTGGTGTTATGGATTGGAAGGGGTGATGTCAATAAATCAATCAATCAATCAATCACCGGAATCACCACGGACTTAATAAAAGATATATATGACTATTTTTGGTGTCGTTAATTTAGTCGCTAAGTTCTCAAATGGTGCCGCTTAAGGTACGCGTGTGTAGTGTTATAGGTTGTAGATTGTCTCTTCAACAGTCTTGAACCAAGGACATACACGGAAATGAGAAAATTTAATTCAATAACGACAGGTTTCCCGGATTTTTTAATATCACGAGTCATGTGATCTTGGCAGGACACGTGAGGCGAACAATCGTTTGTCACGTGACTCCGTCGCTTCATTACCTGACGACGTCAAGGTGATAAGTTGTGGCGACTTCATTTAGCGGGAGTTTCCATATAGATTTATATCTTATTTTCAGAAACTATCAATTTTCAAACTCGTACCACGAAATTAGATACGGCATGGGTAAGTTTTTATTACATAATATGGTAAAATATCAATGAAATTGTGGTAGATTTCAAACACTTAAGTTACATGTAACACGCTGTTTTTGTTTTCGTTTGTAAGAAAACAGAGTACATTTTACCTCTTTTTCGGTTGTTTTTAAGTGTACGCATACTGACTCAAATTACTTTTATTTTTGGCCTGTTAAAAAAAAGTGAGATTTTGTTATATTGCCGCAATAAGTTTCGAATACAAATGTAGTTTAATCGTTTATACGTGTTTTGAAGGTGTCCATGCTGGGTATTACCCAGGTGACTGCACGGCTCCTAGGGTATACCAATCATATGATAACCTACGTCCCATGGGACCTAGTTACCGAAATACCGACCAGGGTACATTCAGAGATGTACATCAAGTAAGTTCTTTCTTTGCCAACAATTTTTACTGTGTGCTTCAAGTACTATCTTTTGTTTTTCTAAGATGTTTCTTTCAGATTTTTTATACATTCGCATTCATCTTCTCTAAAGCTGGGTAGGAATTCAAATGTTGTGTTGTGCCAGAATATACCAACATGTCAGTTACCGAGTGATTCCCTGAATTAATTTGGTTATGATTGAAACATATTTTATTGTATCGAATACAACGGGATTGTGCACAAGTTTGACATACAGAGCTTAAAGTGTGACAAAACACACTGTACGCTTTTCAATACTTTCGAGTTTTAATTTCAAATCTGAACGAATTAGTTTCACTTTGATCAAATATTCTCTACAGATGCATTCTGAGGTTTTTATTTATTGTTCTGTAAAAGTATTTACAAAACAAACTGGTAAGATGAGAACGATATAGACCCAACAACAAAAGTAATAAAAATGCTAATCTGATCTCATTACGACGTACTGGTAACACTGTGAAACATGTGACTGGGATACCAATGGGAACAAAATCATTGAAATCCTAGTGGAATAATTTTCCACAGAAGGGATTGGCATGCATGCCCAACCAAACTTTCCGCATATTTGTATATGTATAATACACAGACCAATGAGTTGGGATGTGTGCAAAGTCCCTGTGATCGCCACCCCTTCCACCCGTCACATTCTCTTCATAGATACTTAAATGAATATGCTGGATCATTATGTACTGTTCAGGTCAAGGTAAAAAGTCACCGTTACTCTTTAAAATATCTTAATTTCTACTCGAGTTGGACTCGATGAAACTATCAAACAGCCTGTTTTATTCAATTTGTCCAAGAGCAACTCAATTTATCATCCCATGAAATCGACCAAAGAGAGATGCAGTGCTTAAATAATTACGTTGTTCACTGACATTACTCTAGTCTCTTCATTTCTAACTGGATCAATTTTTTACTGAAAGGACAAATGATACTACAATAATACTTTTCATAATTATTGTTTCAAAGTCACCATTTCTATATAGATATGTATATAAATGCCGAACAGTGTCACTTATGCGCATGCAATCAGGGGTAAACATGTTTTTCATTTGTTTTCTATTTTTTTTTATGTTTTTAATTTCTTTAAAAAAATCATGTGAGGAGATTACTTTATTGAAAATAAATGTTCATATGGTTTGATTGGCTATCTAAAGTGATTATCAAGTATGTAACTTTGTAAGTTGGCTAAGCTATCATTTCGTCGATGAAATACTGGTTATTTAATTTGATGTATTCATTCATTTGTTTAGTTTGTTCAATTTAATTCTGTAGATTTAGTATTTTAGACAAATGAGAAATGGTACCGTTCTAGTTAAGGTAGCGAGAAACGGTTGTGACAATACTTTGACATTAAATTAGGATGGTGATGCCTAAACCAAACGCCAATTAACATCTAAATATAAAGATAGATACTGTAAAGTTATTTGTTCTGGCGTTCTCTGATTTTAGCGCACTGTCGAATGTTAGAAGACTAGTGAATCGATATATTTATATGGCATAGAAAAGAATATGTATGAACTGGTAGTAATGAAATCATAACTCCATACATCGATCGTGAAAAGTGCTAAGTAAAGATTAACGGTTCATGGTATACGTTCAGCAGTATACTTAATGTTATTGATACGATTTATGCGATTGCAGGTAAAAATCAAAACAAGTATATGTAATATGAAATAGATATAGGTTTTATATTGAAATCCAATAAAGGACTATCTTAAACGGGAATTAGGGAGGGAGGGACGGAGGTAGGGAGAGAAGGAAGAACAAGATTTTTGCTAAAGTAAGACTATTTTTACATAAGTATATATATTTAACAGATTTACTCTAGGTGATTTAAGGAAACACATAGATAATAAGTAAATTTCCTAATTTGTTTTTGTGTATTTTTTCATAATGATCAACACATTACATATTGTAATACTGCGGAATAAAATACGCTTTACAATTTGATTTGTTGATTGTGATATGTGTCCTTTAGAATATGAGATACAACTATCTTTTAGTGGAAGGATGTTAAATAAAATACTTTGTTCACATTTTAAAGAATATTTGAAATAAGTATTCTATTTTAAGCGAATTTTCATGCGCTACATGTTCACAGGAATTCAGGTATGATAGAAAGGCTGAAATCATGCACGAGATCCACCAACTTAAGCAAGAAAACATAGGTCTTGCTTTGGAACTGAATGTGAAGGAAGATTTCAATGGTCATGCTGATATTCTCGAGGAGGTCAACAGACTTCGTTTGATGAATATGAGGCTTAAACTTCTTCAGACCAAACGAAGTCGAAAAGAAATGGCAGATACAGTGAAAACGTACCCTACACATGCGAACCTTGGCACTTTCCCAAATCACAGTACAGCTAGAGGTCGTCAAGGAACGGAACCTCAACGGGAATATCCGGAATCTTGCAATCCTAGAGAAAACGAAGATTGCAAAGAAGCGATTTCAACTCAGGACATCTTTGATCGGGTGGACAGGTTGGAGGCCAACGTGAGAAAAGTCATTAAGAAATATTGTCAACCAAAACACCACCAGCATAAAGAAAACAAGGCGTTACTTCACCATCACAATGCTTCGCGCGTTGCTGCCAGGGATAGAACAGACGACAAAGTTAGCGCCATCCATAAGACCAACAAAGAAGTTGAGAAAATGACCGATAAACCCACTGCAGCTAGAACTACTACGAGACACGGCAAGACAACTTCAGGCAGTATAAATCGAGGAATTGATTATGAGGCCGAGGCAAAGAGAGTCATTGCTGAATATCACAAATCTAAAGAACGACTCAGAAATGAAATCGCAAAGGAGAGCTCCAATCGTTCCACTGTTGATAGACAGGATTCTGTCAGACTCAGACTGGAAAAATACCACTTGCCACTACGTCTCTCTGAACGCCAAAGGTCAGAGATTGGTCGTCATACCAGCATGACCAGATATTCTCACGAAGCCCAGGCCAAATTACCAGACCCGATTTTTAGCAGCAAACAGGACCAACAATGTGAACTTCAATTAAGGAGGACGAAGCCAAGAGAACTAAAAACTGAGCCAAAACAATATGACTTCCATAGTCATGTAAGTTCAACTAGCACGTACCGATCAGAATACACGGGAAAACGTACAGAGGAACACAGACAACTGGGAAATTATGCATCTAGAAACTTTCAATATATTGATGAACCAATTAAAAGTTCAGAAGTACATTTGCATGAGGATAGGTTACAATTGCCTTCAGAGTCTGAAGACACCAAAACCAATTCGTATAGAAATCAAACCGAATCTGATTGCATGTTGCTCATAGTACGTCCAACTCGCAGTTCGTCAGGTACAGTTGTTGGTTACGATGTTGCTGAAGACGTGCCAAGAAAACGCAAAGTGAAAAATGATGAATTACAACAGCGAAAACAGAGAGAAAGTCTTTCTTTTCCCGAAACGTATACACTTGGTAAGCCAAGGATAGGTTCTATGGATGAGAAATTTTATGAATCCCACCTTGTAAAATCACACAATCTGTCTGCTGTTCCAGCCGAGGGCTTCATAATGAAAGGTACGGTCTTTGCATTACCAATTTGTTTTTTGTTTTGTTTTGCTCAGTTGGTTTTATTTTTCAGTTGGGAACATAGTATACAATTATACCAATATTGTAAGAATTTTATGTAATTTTTAAAACCTAATTTTCAAAGTACAATGCACGATTTAAATAGGTACGGTTTCAATAAATAAACAAGTAAATTTAATGTTAGGAATGAAAAGAACAAACT